GAAGGGAGAGGACTCTGGGGTGATGCCTGAGATGAAGAAAATGAACATTTCCCGAAATAGATGAAAATAGTCATTTTAAAAGATGAATAGAAGTTGGAGGAGGAGAAAGCCTTAGTAGGAGCCTGTAGGGAAAACTCCAGAAATCACCTCTTGTTTCTCTCTGTTACTGACAATATAAACAGATCCTTATCAGAATAGAGTACCATTCTTTTTACTGCCTCACAATTCTAAAAGCTGGATAAAATCAGCTTTTTAGATAGCTGTATTGAGATATACATATTGTAGACATACAATAAAGTACATATATTTAAAATATGCTGTTCGAAAATTTTTGACATATGTATATACCATGAAACCATCATCACAATCCACATCATGAACAATATAATCATCAGCTCCAATAAAATCTGTTTTTGAGAATCACTGAGAAAATCTCCAGATGGAGAGAGATCACTGAAGTCCCCTTGCTTTGCAGATGAGGAAATGAGGCCCCAAAAGGGGAAGTGACTTACACAAAGCCCCAGGGGTGATCAGGGGTAGAGCAGGCATCCTCAGACCCTGGGTCATGGATCTGATACTCTGGATTGTCCAGTCATTCAAGGCATTTCCACTGAGCTTAGGAAAAGTTCATTTTCGACCAACCACCTCTTTATCAGCCTATCCCTGGGGAAGCTATAATTCAGAAAGAGAAAGATGATAGCTTTCTTTTAAAAAGTGCCCTACTGGCATGTTACTTCTTATTACTGATGATGTTAGGCACACTTCTCACTTTTGCCCTTTAATCCCAGAAGTGACTAGCCTAATAGTAGGGAGAGTAAGACACTGAACGGATCCATGGGAGACAGGACTACAAATTAAATCCTTCTGTAGAGTTACCAGACTCCAAATCACTTCCAAATCAAAACTCTGAATGCCTTTGCACACAGAAACATTATTATTCATAGTACAATGAGTTCTACAGCTCTATTAGTAAACTATTAATGATATATTTGAGAACATGGATTACAGACTTCTGTGTTCTGACTGGGAAATACACAAAATCACAGTGTCTGGGGGAAAAAAAATGTGCTCCAAATTTCAGTCAACCAAATTTTAAACCTAATTTTCCATCAAAGGAAGGTAAAGATTACATCAGAGTTGCTCCATTCTCTGCCGCACATGAGCAAGGCAACTTTAAAACCTTATGGTATTGCTTTGTTTTGACAGATATTCAATGGTTATGTACAATAGTCCCCCCTTATCTGTAGTTTTGCTTTCCTGGGTTTCAGTTACCCAAGGTCAACCGAGGCCCAAAAATATTATATGGAAGTTTCCAGAAACAAACAGTTTATAATTTTAAATCGCATGCCATTCAGAGCAGCCAGATGAAACCTCTTGTCATTCTGTTCCATCCCATTCAAGCCAAAGATAATCCTTTCGTCCAACGCATCTCAACCATTAGTCACTGAGTAGCCATCTCAGTTATACTTTCGCAGTATCTCCTTGCTTGTGTTCAAGTATCCCTTATTTTACTTAATAATGGCCTCAGTGCAAGAGTAGTGAAGCTGGCAACTTGCATAAGCCAAAGCAAAGCCATAAAGTGCTTCCTTTAGGGGAAACTGTGAAAGTTCTCCACCTAATAAGGAAAGAAAAAATACTGTATGCTGAGGTTTCTCAGATTCACAGCAAGAATGAATCTTCTGTGAAATTGTGAAGGAAGAAAATCGTGCTAGTTTTGTTGTAGCACCTCAAACTCCAGAAGTTACGGCTACAGTGATTGGTAAGGGCTTAGTTGAGATGGAAAGGTATTAAATCTATACAAGATATTTTGAGAACGATCATATCCACAAAACTTTTATTACAGTATGTTATTGTAGCTGTTCTATTTTGTTATTAATTATTGTTGTTAATCTCTTACTGTGCCTAATTTGTGAATAGAACTTTATCATAGGTATGTATATATAGGAAAAATCATACTATATAAAGGGTTGGGTACTATCTGCAGTTTCGGGCATCCACTGGGGGGTCTTAGAGCATATCCCCCATGGATAATGGGGGGGAGTACTGTAAGATGTTAACCTCAGAGCAAGTGGCGTGAAAGGTATAAAGGAACTCTCCCTCTTCTATCTTGGCAACTTTTCTTTTAATCTAATATTGTTCCAAAAATTATGCTCCCCCCCAAAAAAAGTTAAAAAAAATATTCTGGGAAGCCATATGCAAAAACAATAAAAAGGCAAACAGTGTAAAAGTGGAAAATATTTGCAGCATATATTTTGATAGTTTAATATCCTTACTATGTAAACAGCATTTATAAAACTCTACAAAAAAATATCTTGTAGAAAATGGAAACTAACAAAAACAGGCAGGTCAAACACACACACACACACAACCAAATTTAGAAGAAAAAAAAAATCCAACATCCATAGTAGTAACCAAAGAAATGTTACTGCCATTTTTTTTCACCAATCAAGTTGGCAAAATTGATGGGGTTTTTTTGGTTGCACTGGATGCTGTTTGTTTGCCTGTTATTAATATTACCCAGAATTGATGAGGGTGTGGGGAAATGGGCACTAGAGGAAGAGGGTATGCTGTTAAAGCCTTCCAAGAGAGGGATTTAGCAATTTAAATCTGAAACCTTATAGATATGGACCTCTGCACCTGTCACTCTACTTCTAGGAATTTAAGGATATGTATAAAGATTTACATGGTATTTATGTTGTTTCGAATGGTGAAGAATTAGAAAAATCCTAGTCTCTACAGTGGGCAATTGGTTAAATCAAGCAGAGCAAATCTACTCCAACCAAAGATGAGGGGACCACTAAAAATGATGCATAAGAATGCTAAGAATATGTAAGGACATGGAAAGATGTTTACAGAATATTAATCTTTTTTAAACCACTCACAAAACATGCATTCAAAATAATGACTATATATAGGAAGGAAATACACCAAAAATTTAAATCAGTGATTTGGCTATGCACTTTTGTGTGGTTAACAGTAATTTTAATTTTCTTCAATTTTCTTATACTTTACATAAAACGAAAGAAAAGACCAAACATCTCTCTGAGGTGGGATGGGTAGATGCTGGCATCTTTCCTTATACCTTGGTCCCAACCTGGTTTG